AGTGTTTTGTTTCCACCAAACTAATGCCTCACCATTATCTCTTGGAGCCCAGGGAAGATTTAGAATATTCCTTACTGATCTAGCTGAAGTGCCTTTTCATAACATATTACATGGAGAAGGACAAGTGGGAAAGCAGTATGAATTGGCACAATTGATGCCAAAATTAAGAGACAAACATACATTGAAACATTATTTTTCTAATCCTTAAAATTAATGGCTCTGTGTTGCTGGAATATGGCCTTTTTCTCTTTCCAAAGAATTTCAGAGCCAGTTTGATCTATAAATAGTGCACAGCCTGGTTGTCTCTGGTAGATTGAGTAGAGAGCAGAATTGCCTGTCCTTAAGTGAAGGGGAAGTAGCTTTACATTTTTAGTAACTGAATTGTTGGCCAGCATAAAGGTAAGGGTCATGTGAGCAACTTATTTATAACTTCCTCTAAAGGTATGTGTGTGCCTCAAGTGGAGAGACTGTCTGGGGTGCTTGAAATGTAAAAGTGCAGTAGAATCATTTTCCATACACAGCCTTCCTAGCTAGTTGGTGTAATAATAAAGTGCTTGTTTGCATCCCTGGGGTTTTCGGAAAGAGAGGTGTCAATAGATGAGAAGAAATTTTCTTCTCCAATTTAGATAGAAGGAAGTGAGTGAGACCAGTACATTTGAATCTATGATTTTATGTTAGTAAAGAATGTTTAGCTATTAACTTCTGAAGTCATTCAGGACATAAATTTAAGCTTGGTTTAACATGTTGTATGTGGTCCTTCTCTATATTTTACTCAAGTAGTCCAACCACAATTAACAGGTTTTTGTCAAATATTTCTTTTTGACAGATTTTCATCGATTAAGTTCAACTATAAGTTGTTGTTGTTGTTTGTTGTTATGTGCCATCGAGTCGGCCCTGACTCATAGCGACCCCTCCTTGGGTTTCCGAGGCAGTATCACTACGGAAGTAGGATTGCCCAACCTTCCTTCCGAGGAGTGGCTGGTGGGTCTGAACCGCCAGTCGTCTGGTTAGCAGGCAAGTGTCTTAGCCACTATGCTACCAGAGTCTCCAAAAAACCAAAAAGCAACATAGGCTCTGACTGAATTCAATCTGTGGTCACAGTGGGAGAAGGGAAGAAGAGTAAAACATTTTCATGGTATCTCATAAAGATTATATTAAACCCTTTTGATAGATGCCAGAAAATGGAACCCATTGTTACATGTGATTGATATCATCACTCACATCAAGAGCTAAATTACTTACAGCTAGATTTAACTTTAGGGATAAATTTTTTAAGTAAATATGTAAGTCAAGCACATTTTCACCTCTCCTTTGTTATTCATTGCTTATTTTCAGAGACTGAGTGTTACTACAGTTATGTCAGCCATTTAAAACAGCTGCACGTATGGCTAAAAAAGTAAACTTTGGCTTTTGTGCCAATATTGTAGTTCTGTTTAGTATTTGGGCAAGTTGTAATAAGTGGAAAATGGCCCATTAACTACATTGGAGACCTCATAGCAGCACTAATTTCAAATCGTGCTGGGTTTACAATTTACATGTTAAGAAATGTTCACTTGATTTCGTTCAGGGACAAAGCTGACATCCTATACAAGCATTACTCCAAACAATCCTATTTATTGGTCCAATTATTCCAATTGAAAGATGCTGGTTTACTGCCTCTTAGTATATGTGAACAATTCTCAGTGAAACTGTTAGAGATCAGTTTGACTATAGTGGCAGTATAACCTCACTGGGTTTAGATTCACTTTTAATTTTAAGTCCCAGAATTAAGGATCATTTGTAGGATAATGTAACAATGTGGACAAATATAGCTTCTCTTAATGCCCTTTTGATATTTGGGGAAAAGAGTGCTTTTATGCAAAGCAATCACTTATAAATTGCATGACGGCCTTTTCTCACTATAAAATTTCATTCACATTTCTTCCCTTCTCCCACACCCTTAAAAGACAGGGCAATATGCAGTATTTTGCTTTATTCTTAATTTTTTTTTTTTTGAGTTGTGGTTCAAGATATTCTTTAGACTAGATGCCAAGATAAGTAGTTAATATGGTTTAAAATCAGGCTCTTCATTAAAAATGCTTACATTTGCGCAAGTAAACTACATGTTAAAAATGATTTTGGAAAGATTAGATTGGAATTGCCTCAAATTCATTTAAGCCACACTGCATGGACGTGCTGGGAATATCAATACAATTACTGTAAATTTTGTACAAACTGATTTGTTGCATTACCTTGCTCATCTAACATACGGTACTTTTTGTGTCCATATTGCAGACGGCAACTCCAAACTAACATGGCAGTCAGACTGTGTGATGTGGCTTCTCTGCTTAGAAGTGGTTCGTGGGCAGCAGAGCCTTGGACCGGGGTCTGTGGGATTTTTCTTAAATTCTGTAGGCTACTTTTTAGCATGTTGCAGGAGTGCTGAGGCCATACCAAACACTTGAACCTTTCATTTGGCATATTAATTATTCTTTTACATTTAATCTATTGCGGTATGGCTGTCATTAGGACTTAAAGCACATTGCAATTTTAACTATAGAGGTATATGTAGCATCAGAACCATGCTCTTTTATGTACCTTTTTCTAATCTAAATCAGGATTTTGTGCAGACTCAAAGAAAAGAGTGACAAGCTTTTTTTTTTTTTTAAAACAAAAAAGTTTTGGTATGGTCTGAATACTAAGTTACCATAATTCTTTACATTCTGTTTACTATGTATTTTTTTGGTTACTAAATTCTGAAGTTATTTGCAATTCTGGATGCTCCCCCCACCAAAAAAAAAACAAAAAATTTCTTGAAATTGTAAATCTGGCTGAAAATTATTTGTAACTGTTGAAAGAGTTTGCATTCTGTGAACAGTTGTGTTGAGCCTATCAATGGAATATGCATTATTTGTAAAATATAGCACATTAGTATCATTTTTTTCTGAGCAGATGGCCCTATAGCTGAGAGATGCTGTAATTTTCAGCGCACACAGCCTCCTGCAGCTGTTCACTTGAATGTTGGCTTAGGAGCTCATTCTTGCCACCTGAACATGGAAATAAATGTGCAATTAAGTGAGGAGTGTTTGTTGTGCTTGCTAAATCTTGCTAATTTCAGTCAATGAACACTGTATTTCAAATGCCATTCCAGTGAGCTTTGGTCTGAATGTCACTTTTGGGGCTCATAGCTTCTCCACCTACTCTAACTTTTGAATAGTGATTTGTTTTAATTGCCTTGGCCACTCTTTTCCTCTGGCTCATTGTTTTCATAACTACTGGGCAGAGGTTAACCCCACAGGAATTTTGCTGTGGAAAGAATGATCCATAGTTAATATTCTGCAAACTGGAACAGTTAACGCTTTATTAGGAAATCTGACATGTCCCTTCTCAGTTTGAAGTTTGTTAATTATAATCAAATCTATATCTTGAATTATTTTGCTGCCCCATTTTGATGCAATTTTTAATGGTCTTTTGTCTTCAGTTGCCTGCCTGCTAAATACTCTCTGTGAGAGAGGTAGCTTATAGATATCCATTTCTTTGACAAGGAAATGAAGTCATAGAAGGGTTACAAATTGCTATTTCATTGGCATCTTCTGGATTTAGTCTCCTTTTTTTTGTTCGTAATATTCATAGAAGCACCGATCTGACCCCACTGCTGCCACCTTTTATAAACATCTCTTGGCAGCAGAGATGTCTTCATATGTTGTTGTTATGTGCCGTCAAGTCAGCCCTGACTCACAGCGACCCCTTCTTGGGTTTCCGAGGCAGTATCATTATGGAAGTAGATTGCCCAACCTTCCTTCTGAGGAGTAGCTGGTGGGTTTGAACCGCCAGCCTTCTGGTTAGCAGTCAAGTGCCTTAGGCACTATGCTACCAGACCTCCTTGTCTTCATATATGGTATCCACTAGTAAGTCCTTTTGTTTTTCTAAGACAGCATACTTTTTAAAAAAGTTTTTTCTCTTTCCTTGTAACCCTCTTTTCCTCTACTTCATGCTTTTCCCTTGCCTCAAATTTCTTGCGTTTTGTAGGTTACAATTTCCCTAAAACTAGCATCCCATTAATTCAGAGTTGTCATTTTCAAGAAGTGGTTCTTTGTGGAGATGAAAGATGGTATGTTCTTTCCATGATGCTTTGATTTTTGGATTCCCCCCTGCCACACACACACAACAAACAAACAAACAAGCAAACAAAAACCTTGATTGTCCAGATAGCTGCTAGAAGATGCTTTTGGAAAACTTGGGACTGTGGTTTGTGACTCTTAAAGATAATAGGATTAGTTTTTAAGAAACTAGATCCAGAATTGTTACTAAGTGATTGAGTACCCTGGACAGTTTGAGGGCTTTTTTTCCTCAACACTGCTAATTATTCAGTATTTGGAGTTTTATAGATAACCTTATTACTTGTATTTTCAACAGGCTTATGGGCCCAAATGAAAACTCCTTGGGCCCTGGTCTGTTCACAAAAGTTGATATACTTATTTACGTTGTTGTTTTGGTGGACTGGATATATTTTCTTTTTCTTATGTAAAATTGTTTGCGTATTTTATTTTGATGCTGTAGATGAGTTGCCACTGACCAAGTGAAAGAATTGTTGGTGATCTTAAGCTGCCAAGGTTGACAAGAATGGCGTATTAGATTCTGTGGAGTAAAGTATTTGTAGCTTAATTCCCAAGATATCCTGCAAATTCTTTTCATTCCCTAACATATAACATGTGATATTTTTGTGAGGACAGAGTAGAACTGACCCTTATTCAGTTTCCAAGGCTGTAAGTCTTTGTGGAAGCAGACTGCCACATCTTTTCACCCACAGAGTGGCTGGTGAGTTCAAACTGCTGACCTTTCCATTAGCTGCTGAGCTCTTCACCCACCGTACCACCAGGGCTCCTTTACCAATGGTAGAGGTACAAGACGTTGTCAATCAAAAACATTTTCAATATGTAACCAAAACAGTACATGTTGACAATAGTATATATTTTTTAAAGTACACTTGCTTCTTGATTTTAAGTTCATGGATGTCTGTCAGTTTGAGGAAATTGAATCTTGAGCTAACTGAAAATCTCTTCAAAGTTATACAGAACTTTTTTTTTTTTTTTGGTTTGTTTTTGGTAGCATGTTAAGCACTTCTGTTTTCTGGTATTTTGGAAAATACTGAATGTTAGTCAGGGCTCAATTCAGTGCCCTTTGGCTTGCTAAATTTCCATAAGTCTGTGGACACTGCAGGTGAGTAAGGGTATGTGAACGGATTCAGAATGTGATTATAGAGAATGTTTTAAGATTTAATTGTGCTTATGTGCATGTATGGAATCTGTATGTGAATCTGTGTGTATCCGTAATTGTAATCTAAAAGTGGATCACTAACATGAAGTTTAACAGTTAGCATAGGTATTACACTTTTTGTTGTAATCTCAGCAGAACGACCTGTGTTTAGTGACAAATTTGAATTCTTGGATGGGATCTCTAATAGGTTATGAAATATGAATTCTGACATTTCTTATTTTCTCTATTTTTTAGCAGGTAATTGCTGCCATGGAAACACAACTATCTAATGGGCCAACTTGCAATAACACAGCCAATGGTCCAACCACCATAAACAACAACTGCTCATCACCAGTTGACTCTGGGAACACAGAGGACAGCAAGACCAACTTAATAGTCAACTACCTGCCTCAGAATATGACACAGGAGGAACTAAAGAGTCTTTTCGGGAGCATTGGTGAGATAGAGTCCTGTAAGCTTGTAAGAGACAAAATTACAGGTATGTAATGTTCTGTAGATTACTTGCATTTAAAGGATTGTGTTTCAAAATGTGAGAAAATTATATTTACCGGTTAAAAATCATCCAGTGCTACAGTTTAACACAGCTAGATTTTCTCTTCTACTGATCATGTAGGAGCTCTGGTAGTATAGTGCCTAAGGCACTTGACTGCTAACCAGAAGGCTGGCGGTTCAAACCCACCAGCCACTCCTCAGAAGGAAGGTTGGGTAATCTACTTCCATAGTGGTACCGCCTCAGAAACACGAGGAGGGGTTGCTGTGAGTTGGGTTCAACTCCGCAGCACATAACAACAACGATGATAACACTGACCATGTTGGTAGTATGAAACTTAGTTTTAAGAGGGATTTTTTTTCCTTTTAAAAGCATAAAATATTTTGGGGTATATAATACTATCATAGTACCCTTTGCAACAAGTTGTTTGTATATATTATGGGGAGGAGCACTGGTGGCACAGTATTTAAGTGCTCCACTGCAAACTGGAAGGGTTAGCAGTTTGAACACACCAGCTGCTTCTAACTGGAGAAAGATTGCATAAAAATTACAGCCTTGGAAACCTGGTGGGACAGTTCTACTCTGTCCTGTAGGGTCACCATGATTTGGAATCGACTTGATGGCAATGGTTTCTTTTTAATTTTTTTTGGTTTGTTTTGGGTCTGTACCTGGACCTTCAGGTGCTCTGGACTGGGCAACAAAAGCTTTGAAAATGTTTAAGAAGGTTTGTGTGTGTTAGGAAATGTCATGTTAACCTTTAATTTTTAGTTCATTGAGCTTTATGTAATTTAACATTTCAGTAATTAGAAAGTAAGGGAAATACTGTATTTGGGAGAGGAAAAAAATCTTTAAAATTTTTTTTTCTTAAGTTTGTATAGTCCTTTTGCTTATAATATATATACAAAGTAAATGGTAATATTCACATTGTCAGCATATTGACATTTACACTGATAAAATTTGAGTATATGATATCTTATATTCTGTTCCTTAACATGGAAAGGGAAAAGTGTATGAGTGACCCTTCTTATGAAGATGAAAACAAAAAGATGGGCAATTTGGCTTTAATGATGATATGTTTTGAGTATTCCCAGTTGCTGTTGTGTTGGCTGTGATGTCATGGTGACCTCGTGTGTATTTGAGTGGAAATGTGCGCCCCAGGGTTTTCAGTGGCTGATATTTTTGAAATGGATCTCACCAGGCCTTTATTCAGAAGGTCTTCTGGGTGAGCTTCAACTTCCAATGTTTTGGTTAGCTGCTGAACATGCCAACTGTTTGCATCACCCAAGGACTCCTTTTGAATATTAGGTAGTTAAAAATCTCCTTAGTATTTCACAAGATTTGGCTAATTTTTAGAATAAGGCAGAATAATCTTTAAGAAACTTTGTTGAGATAAAAGGCTTAATGCTTCCTACAGAGGTTGTTTTTAAACACTGAAAAGTTATGAAGCGGAGTATGAACAGATGCCTTAGCTTTTACATGCTTTTGATGAATTTGGATAATGGCATATATCAACTTACTTTTGTTGTTTAGATTATAATAAAAAATATAAACTATTTTGAAATGAGGAGCTTTGGTAGTGCAGTGCCTAAGGCACTTGACTGCTAACCAGAAGGCTGATGGTTCAAACCCACCAGCCACTTCTCAGAAGGAAGATGGGGCAATCTACTTCCGTAGTGATACTGCCTCGGAAACCCAAGGAGGGGTCACTATGAGTTGGGTCCGACTCGACAGCACATAACAACAACAAAACATTTTGAAATGAGTAAAGGATACCTAAAGGCAGTATGGATGGTGGCACCAGGTCTCTTAACTCTTAACTAATCTTATGTGACCGTGGCCAGGTCAACTCCTGGCCTCAGGTTTCCATTGGTAAAATGAGATAGAGGGCAGGGAAAGAGGTGAATTTTGACTTCTTCTGATGGTATGCATTTCCTGTTACCAAGGAAGCAGGGCCATTTTCTCCCTGCTGGTGAGTTCTTAGAGCTGGCACACAGGGTTGGACTCAGAATTGTATTTCCTTAAGCTACAGGTTGAGGTTTATAGAGAGAACTTATTTATTGAAATCACACACATACACAGTCTAAGTAAAAACTGATGGTCATTAATCCATACTGAATAAAAATTACTACATTTCAACTAGTTACATTACTTAGATGTTCACCATATCAGGAAGGCACATCTTTTTTTTTTTTTTTTTAAATTGTGATTTGGGTGAAAGTTTACAGAACAAATTCAGTTTCCATACAGTAGTTCACACACACGTTGTCTGATGACATTGACTACAATTTACCCCAGTGCAACAGCTTTCTTCCCACTTTCTCCCGGTACTAGTTACCTCTTCCCTGCATCCATCTGTCCATGCACTCCTGCTCCCTGAACTGTCTCCCTGTGCATAAACAGCCCTTCTTTCTCCCATGATTGTTCTCTCCAAGGAGTGTAAAATGTTCAGCTCTTATGCCTGTCTTTTGTTTGTCTGGAAGCCACAGGTGTGGGTTCAGTTCTAAACCTGAAGGGCAGCTAGGGGCCATCATCTCAGTGGTTCCACTAGGCTCTCTAAGACCAGCAAACCTGCTTCCCCCCCCTTTTTTTAAATGATTTTATCTTTTGTTCCACATTGTTCTCCCGTGCTGTCCAGGATCTTCTATGTAGATCCCCTCGAGTGGTTGACAGTGGTAGCCAGGCACCATGTAGTTCTTCTGGTCTCATAGTCGTATGGGCTGAGGATCACATGGTGTTCCAGTCGCTTGCAGTAATTGTTTCCGTGAGTCTTTGGTTTTCTTCATTCTTCTTTGCTCTGGATGAGGAGAGACCCATCGTTGCATCTAGATGTCAGCTTGCAAGCTTCTAAGATCCCAGTTGCTACTTGCCAAAGTAGGATGTGGAACAATGTTTTTGTGTAGTATGTTATGCCACTTGAGCTTGATGTCCCCTTGGACTATGGTCCTGAGCCCACAGGTCCAACTGTTCATTCCCTCTGGGTAGCTGGCTGTGGCCAAGAAGTGACTACAACCTTGTCCCTTGTCAGCTCTACTGTATACCAGGGAATTCTTACAGAACATACAAATACACTTATAGAAACATTGTATGCCAATCCTATACATGGTCATGGGCACACTTCCCCCTGCATAGACATACCTAATAGTTTAGCTTGTCCACCCATCTATCTACCTATATATCACTGTTTGATTTCACTGACAACACAGCACTGTATGTGAGAAAGGGTTCATTTTTGTTGTCTATACCTCCCATGCACCTCTCTGTGTCTTCCTCTTCCTCAGTGCTACTGTGTTGATCACTTACATTTGGTATATTGCCCTTCTTTTCACCCAAATCAATACTTGTCTCTACCTATTTAACAGTGTTCCCTCCCCTCCCCTCTCACCCCTGGTAACCAACAAAGAAAATTTCCTTCCATATAGAAACCTTTCCTTTCCTTTTACAGTAACGGACTAATACAGTATTTGGCCTTCTGTGATTGACTTACTTCACTCAGCATAATGTGTCCTCCAAGTTTATCCATGTTATATGGTTTTTGCAGACTCTGTGTTATTCTTTAGGGTTGCAGGGTGTTCCATTGTGTATATGTATCATAGTTTGGTTATCCATTCTTTTGTTGATGGTCACCTAGGTTGTTTCCATCTTTTTGTTATTGTAAATAATGATGTGATGAATATGAGTGTGCATCTATGTGTTCTTATCCTGGCTCTCATTTCTTTAGGATATATAGCTAGTAATGGAATTGCTGGGTCAAATGATGTTTCTAATTCCAACTTTTTAAGGAATCACCATATTGCTTTCCACAGTGGTTGTATCATTTGACTGTCCCACCAGCAGTGTATGAGAGTCTTAATCTCTCCACATCCTCACCAGCATTTATTATTTTTCTGTCTTGTTGAACTTTGCTACTAGTGCTGGTGCCAGATGGTATCTCATTGTTGTTTTGATTTGCATCTCTCTGATGGCTAATGATTGTGAACATTTCTTCATGTGTTTGTTGGGCACCTGAATATCCTCTTTGGTGAGGTGTCTATTCATGCCTTCTGCCCATTTTTTAATTGGATTCTTTATGTTTTTGTTGTTCTGAGGTGTTGGAGTTTTCTCTAAATTCTAGAGGTAAGTCCCTTGTCAGATATGTCACTGCTGATTATTTTTTCCCCAATTTGTAAGTTCTCTTTTGACTCTCTTGGAGAAGTGTTTGGAAGCACATACAAATTTAATTTTTAGGAGGTCTTATTCATCTAGTTTATCTTCTGCTGTTTGTACATTTTGGATTATGCTGGATAGTCTATTTATGCCTATATTTGGGCTTCTAAATTTGCCCCTAGTTTCTCCTTGCATTTCACAGATTATCAGCTTTCATCTTTTGTCAGTATTGAATTACCTTATTTTTCTCTAAACGTTTTATGAGAGCAGTTTTATGACAAAAGTGGATAAATTTGAGTTCTACATCTTTACGCTTTTGCCTCTCTGGCTTTGGTGGTAAACAGAAGTAATGGAAGCATAGCCCATGGACAGTCTGAAATACACAGTCAGAAAACTAAAAAAACTGTGTTAATATTTGTCTATTTTCTTCACCTCTCACTCGACTCCCTAGCTGTTCAGTTAGAGGAGGTTTTTCTGTTCCAAACTTCTGATAAGCAAGTTGTTTGTTGTTGTTATGTGCTGTCGAGTCAGACCCGACTCATAGCGACCCCTCCTTGGGTTTCCGAGGCAGTATCACTACGGAAGTAGATTGCCCCATCTTCCTTCCGAGGAGTGGCTGGTGGATTTGAACCGCCAGGTAAGCAAGTGGATTCCCAAAAACATTCCACAGTGGGTCACCTTGAGCATCAAAAGTTGTTTTCTAAGCTTTGTTCTATGAAATAGTCATTAAGTATTCCTTAAAATAAGTGTTTGATTGACAGAAAAATTGAGAAATTCTGTGTTGTTCCCCATTTAAGAGCCATACTCCAGATAATCAGCATATTAAAAACCATGAAGATCCATCC